AGGTTGGAAAAACTCTTATAGACATTGGCCTCGGCAAAGAATTTATGAAGAAGACCCCAAAGGCAAACACAGAAAAAACAAAAATAAATGGGACCTGATCGAATTATAAAAAGCTTCTGCACAGCCCAGGAAACTATCAATAGAGTGAATACACAATATATAGAATGGGAGAAAATATTTTCATGCTATACATTTGAAAAACGGCTGATAACCAGAATCTACAGATAAGCAAATGAGCAAGAAAAAATCAAACAACCCCATTAAAAAGTAGGCAAAAGACATTAACACAAGCTTTTCAAAAGAAGATAGACTAATGACCAATAAACATATGAAACAAATGCTCAATATCTTTAATCATCAGGGAAATGCAAATCAAAACCACAATGGATATCCCCTAACTCCAATAAGAATGACTTTTATCAAAAAATCCCAAAAAAACAGATGCTGGTGTGGATGTGGAGAGAAAGGAACACTTATACACTGTTGCTAGGACCACAAACTAGTACAACCTCTATGGAAAGCAATATGGAGATACCTCAAAGAACTAAAAGTAGACCTACCATTTGATCCAGCAATCCCACTACTGGGTATTTACCCAAAGGAAAAAAAAGACATTCTATAATAAAGACAGCTGCACTTGAATGTTTATAGCAGCACAATACACAATTGCAAAGATGTGGAAACAACCCATGTGCCCATCAGTCCATGAATGGATTAATTAAATGTGGTATATGTATTCCATGGAGTATTATTCAGTCATAAAAAAATGGTGAACTAATACATTTTGTAACAACCTGGATGGAAATGGAGACCATCCTTCTAAGTGAAGTATTCTAACAATGGAATAACAACCACCACATGTACTCATTATTAAATTGGAACTGAATCATCAATACTTATGTGTACATACGGTAGTAAAATTCAAAGGAAATCAAGCAGGTACCAGTGGGTAGCAGGGGATGGGTAAATTCACACCTAATGGGTATAATGCACTATCTGAGTGATGGGCACACTTATAACTTTGACTCGAACTGTACAAAAGTAATTGACGTAACCAAAACATCTATGCCCCTGTAATATTCTGAAATCAAAATAAAAACTTTCAACTTTTTAATTACAACAACAATAACAATAAAACCAACAAAGCAGATTTGGCAACACTACCTCTGAACATGACACTCTGGATGACAGAGATGTAGTCTTCTGGCTCCTGCTCAGCTGAGATCTCCCATCTGCTTCCAGAGATATTTAATAATTTATAGAGCTGATCTGAACTCTTCACTCCACAAAGCATAGTAACTACACTTTC